GCACACACAAAATTAGAAAATGCAGTCATACTGTGTTATAAAGCAATTTTTGTTGGCATCATTGTTTACATTTTGCCCCATAAGCATATGACTTTAATTTGCATAGAAAAGACATCATGTTAGATATGAATTGACTCCAAACAGATTAAGATCTAGTAAAACTTGGTACAAAGTGAAATTTTTTGTTCTTTGGATGTAATATTGAAGGAGATATTGTAAAATATTTAACTTTCAAAATATCTGAATGGCAAAAGCACTTACGAGCCCATACTTTCTTTGTAAAATTTTGAGCTTTTAAACCCGTGTATTTGCACAAAAATTATTCAACGTGTACATCAGGCTCAATTTCTTGGGACAGTTAGCCCTGCTAGGACCTTACAATATTCTGCTTGACGTATTTTTGTAGCTCAGTCAGAAACTAATTTTGGATGCTTAAAAATTTTGGATGGTTTAAATTTATTTTCCAACACTTCTTGTGTCCGAAATTAAAAGCACTTAATGAAGTGATGAAGCATGCTGGTGAGCCTGGAAAGTGCTAATGATGAAGAGCAACACAAAGATCTCAACTCAATTTTACCAAAGTCTCGGCAAGTTTTCATCATTCTTGGCAAGATGTAGGCAATCTTGCCAAGATCTTGCCGAGATTTTGAAATTCACAAACATCACGCTGAGATCTTGATGAAATCTTGGCAATCTCAGCAAAAATGTTGTACGGGGCCTGTGAACTGACATGGTGTGCCCGTGTTACAGTAGAACAATGACTGCTGATTGTCACAGTGTACCAGCCCTTTTAATAATGTTATTGGAAATGAAACTGGGAGATGTCAAAATTACTACAAATATAATTGGCAAAAAATTTCTATCACTTTGTTGATCAGCACCTGCATTAAGCTATGATAAGGTGTTCTTTATTGTGGTGGTACTCCTGCCTGGGGGAGGGGGAAGGGGAGAGGATTCCCTTACAAAAAATAAAATGGGTGCTTATTGTTACTTCTTGGGTGTTTAAATCTAAAATGAACACAGTAATCACACTACCTTTCAGGGTAAAGCTAAAACTTATATTGCCAGTGTCAGTTAATTGGTAATTAATTAGCAGCAAAAATAAACTTAAGTCACATTTACAAATTCTGGTTCTCTTACAAGTAAAAGGTTCGAACAAGACCAGCCTTATTTCTATAGCTTGATTCCAGAAAATATCAAACCCCCTGCAGGGTTTTTTTTGTCTAGTTTGACCCCCCACCCTTAAGTATTTTCTGTTCCAAGGGGTTTTACATTACTCCCCCCAGCCCCTAGAATTTCCATTGTTTTTTCTTCTTGGGCTCCCCTACCCCTGGATAATTCACTTGGAATTTACCTCTTTCAAACCCCTCTAACTCCCTGGAATTTCTGTGACCCTCTGTGGGGTGGAAATAGATATTTTCTGGAACCAAACTGTGATGGGGGAGACCCCCTCCTCCCTGGGACTTCAACTGCCTTTTTCCATTTGGAGAGAAGAGCATCTGTAGTTGCGGGTCACAACTACAATTGTGGAGAAAAGTCCTTGGAACACTTATGTAATTTAACTAATTATCTGTGTTTTACTGCCGAAGTTTGAAAAAAAGCGCTGCTTTCCTCTTAAAAATGCATTGCCCTTCCCCCTCCCCACCCAATACAATGTTGAAAATCAGTTAGTAGTTTTCAACATTGTTTGGGGGGTGGGGGGTGAGGTTAGGCAGCTGAAGTTGTATTTGTGTCTGGCGTGTGCCCAAAAGCACCAAAAGTGCAAATTTGTCCCAAGACTTTTGTCCATAATTGTACATTATGAGACACTTGACTACAGCTATTGTTTTCATACCAGCTAGAAATGGAAGATGCAGTTGTTCCACTACATGTATTAAAATGATTTTGTCTTCTTCATGGTAGATATTCTCCATAAACCCTGTAGAGGTAAATGAACCAATAATTATTGTGTAAAATTAGTAAAAAAGAATAAATAATAAAATAATTCAGTAAGGCTCACATCAGCTTGGACCACAAGGGGTACTCACCAAAATTTGGCTGGAGGATGGCGCTTGAAATCATTAATCTATTTGAGACCTAAAAAGCGATTTTCTCTATGTATTTCCAGAGATGATCAAAATATGGACCCTATTTCAGTTTGTGATCAAGAAAAGGAACAAAAAGACAAACCCTGTGCAATGCACACATGTGGCTTTCAACTTACTTTTTTTTTTTTTGACTAGTTTCCTAATTTACAATATTTCATTTTTTAAATTTAATCTTATCTATTTACTCCACCAAAATGTCCTTGCAAAAATCTGTTACAAAAATCTGTTGTTTTCCAAAGTCCTTGGAACGCAAATTCAAACCCTCAAAAGGGCTTTGCCAGGGGGAATACTTCCATGTATATGTTATACATGTATGAGCCGCTGTGTTGGGTGTGGTTTTCAGGCAGTTTAGTCTGGGACAGGGTAGAGAAATCAGACATTTTTGGTATAGAATAGGGTATAATTCACCAGGAAAGTGGCCAGTGTATATCAATAATTAAGTCCTGAACAGAGGTCTTCACCCAGGGTTTTAGAATAGAAATTGAAACTCCGAAGTGAGTTTGTAAGATATTGGTTTAGTTAGCAGATGTTGGACAATTGTAGTGATAAAGTTTCTGCATGGAAAATAGCTGAGACGATGGTCTGAGACAGGGAAGGGTTATTTGGTGTCTAGTCTAGAATAGGGTTGCAAAATCAAGTTGATCATGGTCTAGTATAAGACAAGGGTTTCAGCATACCAGCAGCACACCCCAACCCAAAGGAAGGGGGCAGGGTGCTTGTACCTACCTATGATGAATAGTACTGTGCCCTCCCCTACCCTGACTCCATGCTCCCTTCCCTCCCACACTCCAGCAGCCCCAAACATGTCTTCTTGATGTGTATGCATGGACAGGAATACTACGTACATATTCTCTCCCTTCAAACATTCTACATTTTTTCTCCAGTTCAATAAAATCATACCCAATGACTACAGAAAAAAATGCAAAATAAAATGCGAAATAAGATTTTTTTTAAAGTAAAACATAAGCTCATTGGCAGCACAAAAAGCTTGAAGCTCGGCATATGGGCAGTGTTCCTAAGTTTGTTAGCTTTGTTTACGGTCTTTGCAATATTAGCGTAAATTACTAGAATTCTGNAGGGTATAATTCACCAGGAAAGTGGCCAGTGTATATCAATAATTAAGTCCTGAACAGAGGTCTTCACCCACGGTTTTACAATAGAAATTGAAACTCCGAAGTGGGTTTGTAAGATATTGGTTTAGTTAGCATATGTTGGACAATGGTAGTGATAAAGTTTCTGCATGGCAAATAGCTTGTCTGAGACAGGGAGGGGTTATTTGGTGTCTAGTCTAGAATAGGGTTGCAAAATCAAGTTGATCATGGTCTAGTATAAGGCAAGGGTTTCAGCATCCCAGCGGCACACCCCAACCCAAAGGGAAGGGGGCAGGGTGCTTGCACCTACCTATGATGAATAGTACTGTGCCCTCCCCTACCCTGACTCCATGCTCCCTTCCCCACACTCCAGCAGCCACAAACATGTCTTCTTGATGTGCATGCATGGACAGGAATACTACGTAAAACATAAGCTCATTGGCAGCACAAAAAGCTTGAAGCTCGGCATACGGGCAGTGTTCCTAAGTTTGTTAGCTTTGTTTACGGTCTTTGCAATATTAGCGTAAATTACTAGAATTCTGACCAAAACAACGACAGAGATGAAGACTACCTTACACACCTAATTTAAGCTTACAGTAAGCTTAAGGCTAGACTTGAACGGAATATAAGCAATTTTATGTACACGTGGCCTTATTTGCTCGCACTATGCTAAAATGAAGGTGTGAACGAAACTTGTGTGCCCTGCGGGAAATCGTCTATCAATTAAGTCGACCGACATTTTCAATATTTGGTCCACAAAAATTCAAAAGGAAACTCTAACATAAGGGTCCATAAGCCCATCAAAGCAAAAAGGTTCGTCTTTTTGTATAAACCTTTTGTTCGCAATTAGCAGCAGATTTTATACGCACACCAGCGGCATGGAAGGATAAATAACCTTTATACTCACATTCAAAAGCTTGTTCGCTCCATTCACTGTGATCCACTGCCACAGCAATAATTCTCGCACACTTTTCCGATGCATCAGCCATGCTGTTAGTGTACAGAGTTGATTTAACTTTGGCCAAGTCTTC